AATTAAAATGTATAGAAATCAAATCACTTACTCAGTCTATTAAAAAAAGGCATAGAAATAGAGAAATGGTTAAAAAGCGGCATATAAAAAATATTATTACATGAATACAAAAGGATAATATTTCTTTGAATTATTGAAGGTCAATGTCGAATTTTATTAATTCATTAAAAATAAAAGAAAAACTTTTTTCTTTTATTTTCTAATCCCTTGTTCTCCTTACATCATTAGTTATTGTAAAAGTAAACGATGGGATGGTGGGTACTCTGTGGAAAGGATAATGAAAATCTAATTAATTAATAAATTTACTATGTAGGGAAAGAAATATAAGGAAGAGTTTGGCGTGTCCGATTTTTTTTTTTTTGGATTTTAAAAAAGAAATTTTTTGGCTCTTTTTCTTATTCTCATCATGCCTGATTATGTTTTAATAAAATTGATCTAAAGGCTTTAATAAATTAATTATTATAATAAGACAGAATGATTAAAGTTATCGGAATTTCTTGGGAAAATGTTAAATCATTAATTTAATTGGGTACATTCTAGGGATTTTTTAATGCATTTTAATTAATTTTTGGAAAAATTCTTTGTTTATTTGATGTGGTAACACTATTTCTTATCCCTTGTACAAAATCAAGTAATTTATATTTTCTTACGCAAAAAAATAATGAGAAAAAGATTTTCATACAATTGAAGAATAGAAGAATCACGTAGCAGTCAGGGTAGAAAAAAATTAAAAAATTTTTTTCCTCGAAATTGTCCCGTTACCAATGACGTACCGCTTCCTAAGCGGATGATCTGAGTTACAGATTTTTGAGAATAACAATAAAAGCGATTTAACATTTAGAATGTATTGTTCAAATTTATTCATTTATATTCTCTTATAATTTTGAACTTTGATCAACAACATATCAAACAAAACTTGAGCATGGGTTATCAGCAACATCAAAAATATATATTCTAAGATATGGACAGAGTTGAAATTTTGTATGTGTAAAGTGTGATGAACTCTTACAATTTTATTAAATGACAAATTCTATAATGTAACTTCAATATTACCAACCCTTAAGATATTAATTGTGACAAATAGAAAAAGGGGCAGTAAATTCACTTGTTATAGGTCATCGTCTCTTTGACAAAATATTTTTTTATTAAATTACATAAGAATTACTTTTTTTTTCTAAATCAATTTAATAAATTAATTTGATTGATAATCTGAATTTTTGTAAATTATATTATTTATTAGACATTAAATATTACATGTTATTACACATTACGCTTAAAAAAAAGATTAAAAATTCCTCTTAACGTCAATTGAAAATGTCAAATTTATTAAATTAAATTTAAGAAACATTAATTTTTCCAAAAAAAAAAATGAATCGATGAACTATTCAATACTGTATAAATAATATAATTTTAATTTAGTTTTTAGGAATGACTGATTGACAATATTGTGCCTATTGTGTCAAAATAAATAAATGGACTTATTTTCTCAGTGCACTGCATGCACTCAAACTGTTGTTGATGTTAATTTTTTACTTAGGTAGTAATTTAACGTTATTTTAAATCTTTTATACTTAATTTTTCAGAAAATTTTTAAAATATGATTAAAAATATTTATAATAAATTTTATGGCAATCAAAACACGCTCTGATTTTAATATTAGAGACATTTGACATTTGCACAGAGAAAAAAAAAATGCACTCAAAATCACTAATTAAACAAAATAAAGCCTACGTACTTTTCAGAAACATTCTCAGAATTAGGATCAAAACACAATCAAACTGTGATTGTAAAAAAAAAAATTAATGACTTAATTTTGTTAAAGTTTAAAATACTCATTTATTATAATTTTTTTATATAAAAAATGAAAATTGAGAAGCAAAAAATCTCAACCTACTCAAAATTTTATATAAAATTTCTTTTCTCCTTTTAAATTTATTATTTTCTTTAAAATATTAAAATTTTAATATTTTACGTAGAGAATTTTTTACCTAGTTATGAAAGCATTTTTAAGTACATATACACATAGTCAAGAATATTTTAATATCCTTTTTTGTAATTACAATTTATGTAGGAGGAGGATTGAATAACGTTTAGATAAAAAAAAAAACAAGAAAAAAGCATCCCTATCACACCTAAGCACAATACAAAAATATTTTTTTTTCTCTCTTTCTATATGCATTTTACACACATTAAAATCAGTGTTGTCAGAATCTTGTAAAATATGTTAAAAATACATAAATTAAAATTTTAATGAATATTTTATGTATAATGACTAGAATTCTTGAAATTATAAAAATTCATGTTAAAAGAGTTATTATAAAATTTTAAAACATATTTTAAAAGTTCATAATTTTAGATAAATTAAAAGAGAACATATATACATATGTGTGTAGGAGGAATTAGTTTTTATTACAGAATAAGAAAAGAGCATACAAAGAATAAATTTAAAGAAAAAGAAAGCTCTACACACACACAATTGGATTTAGCTTTTAATTACAATATTGTTCTATAAAGTGCATAAAATAACAAAATTTTGTGTTCTTTGTTGATGACCGAGCCATAACAACAAAATGTGAAGGATAAATTAAAAAAAAAAATTGGTTAATATTTTGTTTTGAATATTTCATAAAGAAGAAAATTAAATCACATTTCAAAAACAAATCTCACGGTAAGTGTTTTACTATTCTTAATACACTTCCAGTTGAATCTGCAGAATACGTCATTATGTGGAATCCAAAGACTGTTCAATTATAAAAATGAGAGCATTATTGCATTGTAAGTCATTCTCTCATTTTAACGTTATCAAAATGTGGAAATATTTGATTAAATTGCAATTACATTACCACACAAACGACAACACTGATTCCAACATACAAAATATTAGGAGTGCTCTTATATGGTTGACGGCAATATAAAGTACAATGAAGAGAAAATATTACAAAATACAATGAAAGCATCTAAGACCTAGCAACATAATAGAAATTAGAAAGCATACCGGTATATAAAATATTACAAAATAAAATTGATTTTTCTCTTCCAACTTCTAAAACCTTTGCATTGCTTTTTTCATTTTACTATGTAGAATCCCTACAATTTTTTGTTTTTATTAGTTTTTTTTTTCACTTTAATGGATATCCTTCCGTTAAAAGATTTTTAAGTCTTTAGGAATTTTTTTTAAAGATTTTTAAAGGATTTTTCTCTATATACGCTTAATATCTTCTATTTTTTTACCCATTTTATTACTAACTACGAATATTTCATTCTACACCACAAAAAGTTAAAAGACATACACTTGAGTCTATATCTCAGACCATTATTTCTTAGCGTTATAAACGGTAACGGTGCGGGTATAAATAAAATGTAAGACTACCAATAGTAATTGTGTATTTTATGACATAAATTAATGACATATTTCAAATTTTCTATGTCAATAAATATTTGACAACCAATGTTTTAGAATGACATACAACATATGTATGTATGTTCACATTTCATTGCAATATCTTCAATCGCACAACTGCAATTAATGGGTTAAATATTAAAATAAAATTTCGTGCATTAAAAATACACGCTTTTTATGTTGGATAATAAAAAGTTATTTTAAAAAGCAGTGTAATAAAATTAAATACATCGTTTTTTTCTCACATTACAATTATTACTAAAAAAAGAAACTAAATAAAACAATGTCGTCCGTCATTATAGAGTCAACATAATTATTGTTAATTTAAGAAGAATCGTGTTAGATTCAAGTTAATAAAAAAAAACACTATACATTCGCGTATAATCTTGCATTGAACTAAAAAATTTAAATTAAAATATGAACAAACATGCAATACTCATGATCAGAACACATATATTTTGACATTAAATTCCGTTAGAATTAAATTTTCTCAAAACATTTTTCTCTATTTCCTTAATCTTAATTTTTGTTAAGAAATATATGGAAAAAAAAAATTAAAAGTTGTTTTTTTTATAAATTTATTTTAATTTATTTTTTATTTTACCATTTTTGAAAATTTTTCATTATTTAAAATAAAATAAAAATGAAATAACTATAAAAAAAATTGTGTCATTTCAAATGATTTACAATGTACAAAGTCTGAACACAACACATACGCACGCTATTAACACATATAAATAGTTCTCGAGATTACAATTACATTATTTTTGTTAATGTAATTGTTGTTTTATTAATGACTATAAATATCTTATTTAGTAAATTGAACAATTCTGTACAATTGACCTAGGAAAAGTCATCTCAAACAAAAAATTCATTTAATTTTTTATTATTTAATAAAATAAATTGATCACGTTTTAAAAAATAGAAAATTTTGTAAAAATATATTTGTACATAAAAATTATGTAATCAAAAAATGCTTATATACAGTGTACTTCAAAATTTAACTGAATTTTATCAAAAAGTAATTGAAATTCTGGTAGTCGTGTTCGAAATTATTCAAATTTGTCGCCCATATTCTCTTGGACGAATCATTTGAAGTGGTATGCGGTATTATCCACAAGTACTCCGGATTTTAGTTTAAAAGTTAAATTGGTTTTAAACTGGTATGTTTAAATATGTCAACATTTAAACTGTACCTAAACGTCAACATTTTTTTCGGATCTATATACTACACACTGTAAGTCATAGTAATAAACAATATTATAATGACAATGTAGGTGGCGTCTATAGAATTTAATAAAAAATTAAATGAATTTCACTTGTTTAATTGTTTACTTTTTATTTTTTCTGTTTACTAATTAAAATTTTTGTTGTAATAAATGAGAGTGATTCACAATTGTTTCGATTAAACCAATTGTGTGCGCTTAATTATTGTCATCATATTAATAACATGTATAACTTATTATATTAATCATCAATTTTATTTTAGCATCCAAAATGGAAATTAAATTAAAATTCTCTTCTTGTTTTTTTTTTTTTCAAAATAATAACAATAGATAATTTATATGTAGATATTTAAAATGAATTATATAAGACTTACCATTTTGAGTGTTATTCAATCTGTTCATAACTCTAATAGCACCATGTGTAGGATTCTGAAATATTTTATAGTAAAAATAATTACTATTAATGTATAAATAAGAGAAAAAAAAACACATTATAATAAAAAAAAAAAACATTGATGTAAGAGATAACAATAATAACAACAACATATATTATATGTAATATTAATGTGTATAATACAAAATAAAAACTGTTATACAATATTGAATTAGAGAAAATAAAATGTTCCAAATCTCTTTCTTTTACAAATTACATTGATTAATAAAACGGCTTTGGTTTGTTTAAAAATTGCGTTAATTAATATTGAAGAAGAGAAATATGATAAGAAATGTCATTTAATGTAACAGCTCTTTTTAAGCGCGTATGACACTGCTATCATCTTCCATTACATTGGAATAAGTTTGCATTATTAAATTAGTACAAGTAAAAGAGTAGTTGAGAGATAGTTGTAAATATATTTTTCGACAGATGTCATTACTTTGATTTTCGAAATTTGCAGTAAGTTTTGCAATCGGAAGTCCAAAATGCTTCCTTCTAATTCTTTATACTTTCTTCATATTGATAGAACGCAAAAAAATGAAATTAGTACATTTTACAAATTTGAATAGAAAAATTAATTTGTTTTTGGTCAATCATATGACATTGAGTCATAAAACGCCATTTTTCCAAGATTTCATTATTTTTCAAGAGATTCGAACTTTTACTTTTTGTTTTGTGTATATATACAAATTAAATTTTTATGATTTTTTTGTTTTTGTATTCTAGTGATATTGCTATAGTGAAATTGCTATAGTGAATGTGAATTTTTCATCTATAAATAATCACAAAAATTTATAAAATGCATATAATTAAAATGCAAAATAAAATTTAAGCCATAAGTTATACAATGTTGTAAATTAAATTGAGCTAAAGTATTAAATTATATTTACTAATTAATAATTAGCCATTTATTTTATTTATTACAGTTGTAATCGAAGCCGGGTTGTTTAGCTATTTTGAGCATTAATTTTATAATGTAAAAATAAACGATTATTTCATAGAAGCAGCCTATAATTATGCAATTAAATTAAATTTTAATACTTTAGACTCAATATGCAATCGTTAAATATTAATTGCTTTTGGCCATTGTAATAACAAAAAATTAAAAATTTATTTATAATATTTCATTTTTTTTAGAAATCAACATTTTTAAAAAAAAAAAAAAAACGTCGAATTAAAATAAGTGAATTGTGTCCAAGTGCTTTGCAAATTAAAATAAAAAAAAAATAAATTGCGATAAAATTAAAATATTAAAAAAAAAATGCTTTTAGAAAACCATAAATTTATTTTCTGTACAAACAGTAGTAAGTTTTTAATGCATAATATTGAAAATTAAATTCAGCCACAATATATACGAAAAAATTTATTGCTTGTGCAAAATTAAAATTAACGGAAAAATAAAGAGTAACAACAGCAGTAGCAACAACAATAGCTTAATACAAGCTATCAATAAAATACTTATATTTAATATTTCCTATACATATTATAAAATTTACAATATTATAAAATTTATCATCTAAATAATTTTGTAACACACAAATTCATTATAAAAAATAATCACCAAACTTGCTATTATAAATAAATATTAAATTAAGAGAAAAACAACCTTTAATAAACTTTATATATAGAAATTTAAAATCCCTACCTCATTCCGTCAATAAACTATATAATCTAATAAAATCATTAAAAATCAAATAAAATATATTGAATGTATTTTTTGTTGACAGCAATATTTTTAATAATTTGTCAATGTCAAAATATTTCATAATCTAAAGTGAAAGATTTAATTTTTATATACATATATTTTTATATATTAGGCACAAGAGCCTACGAAACCATTTAAGTATTAGTTACCTTTTCGATGGTTACTGTTTTTTAGACTCCTCTAAAACCATTCTAATTAATGATTGTCTCTTTATGTCATTTATTAAAGTACATATGTATGTACTTTAATAAAAGGGCAATATTTAATAATTTAACAAAATAATTAAAAAATTAATTCAAAACATTATTTCTTTTTTTTTTAACTAAAAATCAAATTAAATGATTTCTACAGAAACTGACATTTGTATTTTTATTTATTGTACATTAAAACTTCCTATATTTAAAGTTAAATAACTGTTAAATACAAATGACCATTTCAATAATACGTCATTTAATCAATTACGTACTAAATTGCTTATTTAAAATAAATAAGGAAATTGAAATTTTCTATTTTCAAATAAACCACAAAAATGTCATCCATATATGTCATAATAATGGTAAACCAAAAAGCTTCTATGGAAAATGTAAAATTTTCTATGCTTTCAATTAAAGTTATATAGAAATTAATAATGACATTTGACATAATAAATGTCACATAATATTAAATTGAAATACTATAATGTTATTGTTTTGACTTCTAAAAATTTAAAAATATATAATTGACATCTATTTAAGTATTTTATTACTAATTATATACTATTTATTGTATAGTTTACAATATTTAATTCAAATATAAAAATACATTCAATATACTTGTAATTTTTAATGTTTTCGATTTCCTTATACAATATAAATACTATTTGTTCATATGTCTAATAATATGTAATAAAATAATAATAAAAATATAAATAAATTGTATAAGACCGTGTGTTTATTTATTTATATTCAGAAAAAAAAAATCAACCTTTTCACATAATTCTATATATTCCATATCACACATACTATATATAAAAATTTCATTAACACATTGGATAAATATGAACACATCTAAGAATATATTTAGAGAATGTTATAAGAATATAGTTTTGAACTTAAAAATAATAGAAAAAATAAAATAAATATTTAATAACATAGTTTATAATTTTATATAATACATGGGGACTATACATATTTTTATATATCTATTTATATATCTATTAATTTTGTAAATCGCAAGGCAATTATAAATAGGGTGATTTTTGAATCTTTTAGTTTTTAAATCTCAACAAAAATACAGAAATAACGGCAAATTGCAAGTAATTTTTATAAGTATAACTTCATCTAATTTTTTTCCAAAGGTGTAGGGGTCGATATGAACAAAGTAATGTCACACACACCCCAAAGAATCTAAAGACGTCTAATCCCATAATTTCGATACACAGTCCGGACGTCAGTCTCCTCATATAATGATATATTACCCAAAAAATTGTAACAAGTCCTGCATAAAGCATCAAATAAAGTCATGAAAAACCAAATAGCAAAAAAAAATCACCCTTTATATTAAATAAAAAAAAATTTAGAAAAAAAACACAATCTTTAATTTTTGTTTTTGTACCACTGAAGATTTTGCAGATGTTTGACGTATTGGTAAAGTATTACCACCGCCACCATTATTGCCACCGCCTCCTGTTGTTCCAGTACTACTATTAGCAGTTATAGATTGTCCACCAGCACTGCTACGCATTTGTTCTAAATCATCTGGATCATCAATATAATCTTCTTCATCATCATCAACATCATTTTCATCTTCCTCATCAATTGATGATTGAGACGGATCCTATATACACATATATATATATATACATATAATATTTAGATCGCATTCATTAACTTTTAGTAGTTTATTTATATTGATTATTAAATTAAAAATACTTAATTTCAAGTATTTACTGAAAATTAAATTTTGAGTATATTTTTATAAATTTTCACAATTTTTACTTTATAATTTTGAAAATTTATTGTTTGCCCTCTTAGATGCATTTAAATAATAATAACATAAACGTCAATAATTGACATTATTATTGTATACGAGTATACGACAATTACTCAGCACCGCTATGTGTACGAGAGCACCAAAATAAACTCTTGAGAGTATATAGCATGTGTGAACACTGCTATAAATAATGTCAACTTGATATTGCAATATAAATATATTTATATTAAAGTTTGTGAATGAGATCTAAAATATTTATTAGATAATAATAATTGTTTTTTAGTATAATTTTACACATATTCACAATTTATTCATAAATTAAATTTTTGTTTAAAAAATTTCCCTAACTGACACACCCTTAAATTCTTTTAACCTAGTAATTTTCTACAACAACGTGTCTGACCTAATGATTACCTTACTTTTCTTTTTCAACACATAACCTAACATTTGCATATATACATCACTATTATAATTAATATTATAAATCAAAAAAAAAATTTTGTACACTTTTATAAAAATATTTTGTGAAAGAAATTATAACAATTTTGTGAGAAAATTTAAAAATAATATTAAAAAAAAATAATTTAAACTTACCATTGGAGGTTGAAATAAAAAATACATTGTGAACATTTTTAATAAAATATATTTTTTTTAACTATTAAATTGATTAAATAGAAACAACTTCTTTTAACAACCCTTTTATGAAATTATTGTGGTAAAATTTTCCAAGAGGTCAAAATACCATGAACTAAATGACGTACTACTACTCTTCTTATCAACTGTATTTTCCTAAAATATATTTTTGAAGATTGTTTATTTGTTGTTGCTAAATGCGGTGAGTTCACTACAGTAACGACAGTCAGAGAGAAAGGATAACAAGTTTTTTTTTTTGTAGTTTTACCCACATATGTGCAGGGGTAGGTAAACATTTCTTTTTTCTAAATTTTCCAACAATTTCCTTTTTTTGACAATAGATCAGAATTTTGTGTTAATATTTGATTTACCGAGCGAATGCAAGTGTTCTTGCGCCAATACCTCAAGAAAGTTCAATAATTAACCGGACGGAAATTTTACTTCACGTACGTGAAATATTTTATCAAACCCGATATGCAAAACTTAATAAAAAAAAAACATTTTGCACTTTCCGGATTGTCAGGTTTTTTTACAATTTTGATAAACAAAATTTATTTCTATAATAGTTTTATTTCCTTTATTAGTTTAAGTTCTGATAATCAAACTTATAAATTTTTCGATTACACAACATGCTATAGCACTGTAAAAATTTACTACCTCTGCTTAATTCAAACTATACCCCCGTTATCTATGGCAACCAATTATTGTTATTTCAAATAAATTTTATAATTAACAAGAATTAGATTTTGTTTTTTTTTCTTTTTGTATTAAATTTATTTCCTTCTCTTGAATTTGGAACAAAAATTCCAAAAGTTAATATATTCTATGTATTCATTCCCATTCTGATATTTACTTAAATACGAACATGCCGATTTAAGTATGTATGGAAGTTCTATCTATGTTCTCTTATACAAAGATGGCAAATAAAATGGCAACTGAGAAAAAAAAAAAGTTAATCAATCAATAAAATACAATGTAATCGTATATATTGATTTATAAAATCAAATAGTTAGGTTATGTTTCCTTTTTAAATTTAATCAATTTAAGCTTATTGAAATTATTGTGAATTAAGGCAATTTTTTAAAACTTATTCAGTAGTTTTTATAATTTATACAATTATAGTGGTAATTGGATTTGACAGTGGAATTTTAGTAAAATATATTAGCCAAATAATTAACAAAATCATTCAATTCGTATTAAAAACCGATTCAGGAATTAATCGATTAATAAATGAATGTGACAGGTAAATCAATTGAGTAATTGGTTGTGTTGAAAATTAAATAATCGAAAATAAATAATCCGACATAATAGAAAAATTGACCTCCATAGCAGTAGTAAAAAATATTCGGTACAGAGTCAATAGGAAATAAAAATGGAACAGCTGCAAAACTTAGAAATGTATTATGAACTAATTTTCTGTCGAAAAAAAAGCCAATTTATTGGCGATCGAATTCTCAATCGATTTCCGAAATATATTTTGACAATTTTAGTGAAGTAAAATTGTAATTGAACTAAAATCGATTTCTCGTGTTGCTATAAACTGTTCACGGTAAAGTAAAAGACTGACATAATATAACATAGCCTCTGTTTTGAAATTCCATTTCAAAAATTCATTCACAATCTTAAAGGAACAAAAATCTTTAAAATGTTAGCACTTAAATTTTAAAGAAAAAAAAATATCGAAATAACAAAATTATAATTTTGCAAAATTGCTTTTTTTATAAGTATTTATATTTCTTGTATTTGTGTATAAAAAAAAATTATTGCAACTATTATTTACTTTGTACGAAAAGAAAAAAAATTATTAAATTAAATTTCAAATTAATTTGAGTTCTAAATCTAATTACTTTTGTACTAAAAAATTATACTTGTACTAAGTTTTTTAATTACAGTACTTTTTTGGTTTTTGTGTTAATATCATTTAAAATGAATGTTATCAAGCAATTATTGTGAATATTAATTTGAATTGTTGTCAATAAAAATTTTTATGTTATTTTTAATTGAATTGTAAATGTTTTTAGTTTGTTTATTTAATAATAAACGTTTTGTGATTTTAATAATATTAATTTTTATCAAAATAATATTGTAAATTTAACCTAGCAAAATTATTTTTTTTTTATGAATTTGTTCCAATTAAAATAATTAATTAAGTGCTGGTTTTTTTTTTTAATATAGTTGTTATATTAAATAATTGGGTACCTACATTTTTATCATCTTCATTTCCCGATGGATAATCATCCAATGAAGAATGTTGTATCAACTAGACATTTATGCAAATTATGATTACAATTATTATTTTATTATTTATATGAATATTATGCTTTGTATAATTATGATTTTAATAAAGTGATTTTTAATTACAATTTATTTTTAAAATTTAATTTAATTTTTAATGAAATCTTAATTTAAAGGAATTATTATTAGTACTTATATATTATATTAAAAATTTTCGAAAAATTTTATTTTTAAATTCAATTGTGAATTTTTATTGTATATTTACTTATTTTTTTTGTAATTTTTTACAGTTAGTACACCTAGATTTATATTTGGATGAAAATCAAAATAATATCAAACCAATGAAAGTAATAATTGCTGATATTTACTGCCATCTACATTATGGAGAAAAAATTAAATTTTAAAGAATCAATTTTTTAACGAAAAGGAAGTTTTTGACGTTAACAAAATAAAAATGTTTAATAATCTTACGTTATATTTATCGAATATATACATATGTATGTAAATATGAAAAACTATTTTCAGAAAATTTTATTTCAAATTTAATAATTTAGTTCCATTTGGTTGGTTCCAGTTTTAATTGAATATTTTGCTCGTTTAATTGTATTGTTAAAAATTCTTGTAATACGAAATTGAAATGCTTATGTAGACAGTTATCCCTCGACATACATAAGTGCATATGCGACTTTTGTTTTCTGTTAAACTATGGCATGTGCAATAAATTAACTAATTTTCTTTATTTTTAGAGGATCATCATGTATCAGAAACTACTCATAATATGAAAACATATCCAATAGCTGGCCCTAACTTACGGCCACATACCATATAAGTGAACGACATATTATATTTAGAATGTAGAATATTGAGGAACAACTGCATTTGATATAAATGTTAAAAGTCAAAAGGGCAGATTATTTTATATACATAAAAAACTGCACATACACTCATAAAAATATTTAAGAAACGCGCAATGCAATATAGAAAACATTTTTTTTTTTTTCATTGCAAAAATTTAATTTGAAATTGAAGTACCCACTCCAAAATATTTTTTTTTTCTTTTCAGCAAACATTTTGCACATTTCTTTCTATTTTTTTCATTTCTGGCTCTTTTAATTTATGATTAGGTTGTTGAAAACTTCAAAGTGCCGACAATAAAAAACCTACTTGAAACTTCCTTTATAGTGTTAGAAATTCAAATCAATAGCAGTAAAACGAAAAATTGTAACAAAATTTTTGAAATTTTTTTTTTTCCTGTATTTAATTTTAAAATTGAATTTTAAAATTGAATGAATTTTATTAAAAAATTTAGAAGAAAAAAAAATTTTTTTTTTTTAAATTCATATACAAAGAAAATATAAAAGAGAAAAAATAAAGTAGAAAAATATTTTTTAAGGAACAGCAAGAAAATCTCGTCATAAAATATTTTTTAAAAAAAAATTAAGAAAAGAAATTTTCTGCCGCAGCAATCACCAAACAGAAAAAAAAAAGCTATCGAACGAAAAAAAAAAATCTAATAAAACTAAAAGCTTGGCAAAACTTTTATTTTTAGAATTGAATGAAGAAAACATTTGAAATGAATGGTTTTGGTATTTTGTTTGTATTTTTTTCTCTTTTGGTTTGATAATTAATGGGGTTGATTAACAGAAAAATTGATACGGAAAACAACAACAAAAAAAAAAAGGAGAAAAACAGTTTTAATAATTTCGAATTTTTGTTGATGTTTTTTTTTTTTTCTTCTGCCACTGATTTTAGTCAGTATTTTTTTCTTTATTAATTTATTGTTCAATTTTATTTGTTATATAAAACGTTGGTAATGTTTAAAAAAATGTTTTAATTAAAAAACATAATATTAACGATGAAGTAATTTTGTCGTTTTAAGTAAAAAAAAAAAAAATATTTAATTTGATGGCTTATTAGTGGAAAATTTCTATGGTGAATTTCTATTTCAATGACAAATTGTGTCTAATCTTCATAATAAATTTGTTTAATAAACTAAACAATTATACATACGCCTCAGCGTATACAATTTTACTGTAATAGAAATGAACAAGCTTGAAATTCGCAAGCATATATAAATTTTGTAAAAATAACCGATTATTGTATGCGAAAAATCGATTATATTTGAAAATGTCATTGTAAAGATTTCAATAACTTCTACAAAATATATCAGCAAATTTCGAAAATTAGCAGTATTTCTCTATAAGAGTAAACGGTATAATGACTGATTTTGATCATTTTACACAAAAATATCGATTAGGTTAGCAATAGAATTTCTTCGAGAAAAGAATCGATTTAGAATTAATCTTTTGTAAAAAAAATTATTCTTAATGTTTATTTTAATTCCGTTAATGAAAAAAATTACATTCTGATGACATTTTTACTACTTGCTAATGTCCAAACAATACTTTGTTTGACTTTCCGTAATTTAACAAAATACAAAGTAGCAGTATAAATATTGAATGTTTTCTGAAAATTGTTGTAATATTTTAATCACTTTTATCAATCATATGAAATAGAAATTTGTCTCCATTTAAGCTATCAAATAAATCGAATTTTATTTTTTATGATAAAAAAAATAATACATAAAACAACTTACCCTAGCTAAATTATTTGGTGCTGTTGCAACTTTTTTAGCTTCCGGTTCATTACATTTTGCATTTTGTAATCTAGACAAAAAACTTCCATCCATACCGTTATTACTATTTCTATTTTCAATTTCATCTTCTTCAATATGAAAACCTTGATCTTGTTGCTTAACAAGATTTGGATTCAAAGCTAAAATTGCATCTAATTCAACTTCTTTACCTTTGGTTTCACCTCTTTCATACCATTCAACTGTTATTGATCTAGCATCATTATTTATTTTTGATATAACAGCTGAATGTACACGACCTAAAAAAAAAAAAAATGAAAAGAAATTAAAAATTATAGTTATTTCAAAAAGATTTTTCACAAACTATTAAATTAAATTAATTAAGGAAATTTTTAATAAATTCATATCAAAAAAAAAATTGAAAATTTATTTAAATTCCCAGCGATTTTACAAGTATAACAAAACAATAAAAAAAAAAAATTTTTTTTAAGGAAATTCATTTAAAAAAAAATTATTCGAGAAGACTTGTAAAAATTAAAATGCAATTAATTTTTCAAAAATGAATTTCAAAAGACTTTCACAAAAAAAAGAAGTTTAATTATAAAAATTTTTAATTGTAAAACAAACAATTATAATTACATGAAAATCATGAAATAAAAGTGAATGTATAAGTATAAAATTTTACATAATTATTGAATAAAAATTTTCAATGAAAAAACGTTTACAATCTTTCCCAAAAAAAATCTTAATATTAAAACGGTACAAGAGAGTAGAGCAAACAATTTTTGTTTCCGTTATTCCACTTTTTACTTAAAACAATTTATTCTCTTTTGTTTTTTCGTAACTAAGTATTTAATTCGAAAAATTCATTATTGAAAATCGGAAGCTTACCGAATTTAATGTACTCAACATATCATCATTGCACAAGACATCAGCAGACATTAAGGAAATATTTATATTTAATGAAAATTCTCTTCTCAAACAAAAATTTATTAAACAACAATTAATTAATTTTCCCAATCAAAAGTAATCCAAGACAATTAAATTTTATCACACGAATAGATGGCATTAATATTGAACCATTTTTCCGCACATTCCCGTCGGAATATTATATGAATTACATTTCAATAAAAATAAAAGATAAAATAACCTTGACACATTCAACCGCATGGTCTGTACGACATAATGAAAAATAAATTGCTCACTGAAGGCAATCTCAACAAATTTTAAATTTCATTAATTTCGAAGAGCTCTCTGATATCAATCTTTCTACTATGAAGTTTGATTTTATAAACTGAGCCGATTTGACATTTGCAGTCATAAAGAATTACATATGAAATGTCAAAACTAAAGTGAAAGAGAACAACTGTAAAGAAGTTTGAGAAATTTGAGTAGAGTTTAACAAATGTACATATATGTATGTATAGTGCAGATTAATAAAAATTTTAATTTTTATAGTTTGCGGCTACCTTTAGCATATAAGTAACATGAATTTTCTAATTACAATTTGCATAATTAAGAATAATATAACAATTTCAAATTAAACAAGAACAGAAAAGAATTATACCTAATCATTTTTTTCTTCTTACCATCATTTTTTTCACTATCATCATAATCATCATCATCTTCAATATCATTATTATAATTATTATCACCAAAATTATTAATATTATTGGCACTTTTATTATTTAAAAATTGATTTGCATTAAGATTTTTCTCATAATTGGAATTATTACGATTTTGTTGTATTAATAATTTTAATTGCTTTCGTTTTTCACTAATTTGTTTATTACCATCACAATTCTTATTGCTATGAATATTACTATTACCGCTATCACCACCACTAGCGCCACTACTATTTCGACTATTTAAATTATTACCAATATTTGCTGATTTCTTTTTCGAAAATGTTTCTGTATTATTTTTACGACGATTTGGTGATTTTCGACGTGGTGATTTTCGTCGTATCGATGATGATGATGATGTTAAAATTGGTCGTCTTGGTGGATATATTGATGATGTTGTTGTTCCAGATGATTTTCGTCTTGAATTAGAATTTGTATAGATTTTTATATATCCTACATTTTTTGTAGTAGAATCATCTTCATGTGATGTATCACCATCATCTCCATCATTATTATAATCTATTTCTTTTTCTTCTTTTGAAGATGGTGATGATATTGGAATTTCATGAATATTACGAAATTTCTCATCAATTGAATCTGGTGATAATGATGATGATATTGATTTTATTGTATTTTTATTATCGTCAACATCAGCTAATGATGTTGAATCATATTGATTTTGATGTTCCTGTTGAAATTTTGATGATTGTCGTTTTGAATTTGTTGAGCGTTTTTTTGAAATCACAGCCAAATCACTTTGTTCACGACGAAAACAACTAAAATGTTTTTTAAACCACGACGGCATTTTTTACAAAATAAATGTTTTCAGTTGTAATCTTTTTTATTATTTAATTATAGGTTCACTTAAAACTGATTAACAAATTAACAATATAGTTTTCAAGTTCTGAATTTCATTAAATTTTTTCTTAATATTTGTGTATATTAGGCAAAGTATTTATTATTAATAAAATTTGCCGTCATATTTCTAATAAAGTAAACAAAAATTATTTTTGACAAATAACCAACTAATCCATATATCGTTTATTATTATTTTCAAAACAGTTACAAAACCGCAAATTTATGTCATTTCTGTTTTCATTTTGTTATTATTTTAAAATATACGTCACATTCAATACCTACTGTATACTGTGAATTTACCAACACCTGCAACTATTTTACATGAGGTATTTCACAAATATTAATAAATTCAATATGTCTGCGACCATTAGAAAGAACAAAAATAAAAATAGCGTGTCTAACTATTTTTTTATGAAATTTTTTCATTATTAAAACACATTAGTTGTAGTAGCCCTACTCAAAATACCCCTTATAATGCCCTACTCATAATGTACAATTCAATAAAATTCAATTTTCTCAAAATATGTCACTGTAATTTTTTTTATATATAAAAATAGTAAAAGGCTTATAATGACACTTAAGTAGTAGCAGATTGTATGCTACACTACATAATATTATAAGAAATTTTAGATTAAATATACATATACACATGTATACATGGCTTTTGAACAGTGCCTATATAAGTTCTATTAAGAAAACAAGAAAATTCTATTTGAAAAATAAAATAATAATAATAAAAAATTTAATCCATGTGGTGTAGAATTGTAAAAATGACTGAGCCAATAATTATGCCGGCCGGTAGTACAATGAAAAATAAAAGATATTTGTATGTATTGTGTGTTATACTACAATGCGAAGAGAATATAGAGAATTGAAAATAAAAACAAAAAAGAAATTAATTTTGAACTCTTGGTTGACCTCATCACAGTAAAAAAACACACTATAAGTATAAAGAAAACAAATCTTGGAATGAAAAATTTGAAATTCATGTTTTTTAAAATAAAATACAAAAATATTTTTATTGTCTCTACACTCTACAAGGATATTTTAATAAATTAAAAATGTAGTTGAATGAAAATAAAGGGAGAACTACTATAAAAAGACAAAAAAAAGGAGTGGTAGAAGTGAGGTTTTGAATTAAAACAAACAATTTAGTAAAACAATCATGACTGACTAATTACTTCAGGAAAAAAGGTGCATTAAATTGGTTAAAAAATATACCTTTTATCATCGAAGCAGAACATGATCGAGAAATTTTGGAATTTATAATGTTTTCCGTGAATGTTTCAAATTTTAAATGAAGTACACGAAGTGTACCACTTTACTAAAATAGCGTTACTATTAAATAAAATTTTGAACAATATTCAACAATAATCTTTATACATATAAGATTTTCTATATAGTGAACTACACTACGATTTATTGTATTCAAACCCAGAAGAATGTCCAAAACCTATAATAATATCCAAATATGATCATAACGTACTTTGTGTTCCAGCCTCATACATCATGTAAAATAAGCAAAAATTTCAAGCCAGACTAATGATAATATGCAAATTTTTAGCTGTCATGGTTCTGATAAGCTCAATATTTATAATATTTTCTGCTATCAGAGAGGTAGAAACAAATAATAAAGTGCACAATCAAACAATAAAAAAAATATTTTATTAGAATTAATTACGTAAAATTTTATTGACTTCAAGTTTTTCTAAATTTTATTTAATAACGGTACTATTATATACATATCTATATTGGGTTTTCTTTTGAAGTTATTCAGGTTTCATCAAATGAATAACTTTGTATAAGAAACTTCATAAAAAATAAAAGTTTCAATATAAATTTGTGAATCTATACTTTCACACAGACTTCATTTTATAAATAATTTATGTATGCATCTATATAAGTATAAAATATTTGTATGCCATGCACTCATTTAATTAAAATTAATTCAAATTGAATTTGATTCTAATGAATATTTAATTTAATAAATCTAAAAATCTTTTCAAAACATAGTCTGCATGTATGTGCTTCTGTTGCTTCATAAAAATGAAAAATTATAGTTTTCTTTAATGACAAAATAATTGTTCAAAAATTTATTCAAAATTTATTTATTGCCTGATTTTATATATGTACATTTATACATGTACAATATAAACTAACATACATATTATATACATATATCTTTCTATATTAAATGAATATTAAATTTCTTATAAGTATATGGTGTTCTATTTTCAATTCAACCATAACATTAAGAAATTAATATTTTTTTATATGTACTTAGGCATTAAAAATTTTCATATTTTATTGATTTCTAAAAATGTGGAAAATTTTTTTTCAATTTTGATATTAATTTTAGTAATCGATACTTAAAGTAAATAATATTATTTTATTTGTAGATAAATACGTGTATATATGTATGTATAGGCAAACTATTTAAAACATATAGCTAATTTAAGAAAAAATCAATTATATTTGAAGAATTAGGTAAATACCTATTAATATTTATGTGCCTTTTTAGGAATAAATGACAACCTAAGTAGTATGAAAGATTTTTTAAAAATATTCGAAATTGATTTCATGAAAATGAATATAAATTTATTGTAATAGTTACAATGAAGAGGGGGCCTAATTACCTTATTGAACGCGTATTTAAACAAAACAAAATAAAAACTAATTTTATTAATTAATTTCTCTAATTATTAATTGTATTAATAAAATTTTTTAATCAATTTATCTATTAAAATTCAAATCTGACGAAAATTTTCTAGATTGGGGCAAATTTTATTTCGAATTTAATTGAAACTCAAATTTTTAAAGATTTCTTGCTTAGGGAATCCGATAAATTTTTATGTTAATCAAAATTGTCAGAAATTTAATAATTTAATTCTCAAATATCCTTAAAGCTATGCAGTTATTGCTGTTTTATAAACAATTATTTTAAGCAACAATATTGACAATCATATGTACTTCGTCATAGGATATATTTTACACATTTAAAAACACAATCACGTCATTTGTAAAAAATAATTCATGAATGAAAAGAATATTTAAATATTAAATTATTTTTCAAAAAGCATCGCTTCAACACTGCCGCTTATACTCGTAATTCATAAAATATTATTTTCCTATATACATATATGTACTCTGTACTTATAAATCGCTATATACAACTGCAAGTATCATAATGCAGTCGATTACTGATTTCGGAGCCAAAAAATTAAAAGATAATGAAAAAAAAAAATAAAAATTCGTAGGCATTAACTCCATTATAGAATACCCTGTATAAAATACAAACATAATATAAATATATCCATTCAACACGCATACATCCACACACAAAATTACAAAATGCATAATTTAAGTACGTGCATCTACTTTAAGTAGGTACATTCATGAATAATAATCGACTGACTGTGATGACATTGCCAATTATACGATTATAACAATAAAGAAAACAGTAGGACCGACAATAAATTTATAAGAAGAAAAAAATAAAATATATAAAAAAATGAAAATGAAAACAACGAAATGTCAAATATTTCACAATAATGTCATATGATTTATTTTATTTCTTTTTCCAGTTTACTCGCACACAAACATTGACAACATTAAAATCTCTTTAAAAAATAAATTAATTTTTTTTCCTTTTTATAAATAATTTTTTTCTTAAATATTAAATTTTTAATAATTGCTTTCGTCTCAATTAAAATATTTTTATTGCACATGCAAGCAATGCACACACGCATTTTATACACACGTTCTCCTAAACAAGAAATTCAATACACACAAACACATGTAAAATTTAATTAAAATATTTTGCTTTCATTTTTCTTTTAATTATGAATTTTAAAACCTTTTTCCTTCTTTCACTTTATTTTAACACTTTTTTTTTAATCAATCACATTATTTTCTTTCTATTTCTCATAAATCTACATAAATTTTCTATTAAATTATAATTAAAATAAAAGAGCAAGAAAATTGAATATGCACACAGAGAAAAAAATTTTAGAAATAAATTACACAGAGAAAATTTTTTTGCTTAAAAGTCGCGCCACGAAATTATTAAAATTTTATTTTTTATGCTTTTTTCATTTACATTTGATTTAATATTTATTTTTATTTTATTAAAACTAGCGACTGACTACACTACACAACAAAATTTCATTATCCTTCTACCTATAAATTATGAGCGAAAAAAAAAATATTTTCTTCCTTTTTGAGCAAAAAATTATTTTTCTTTACGAACGTCTTAACATTATTTGACGTGTCTTATTTGTTTGATCAATAAACCTAAACTAAAATAAGAAAAAAAAAATTATTTATATGTGTTACAGAAATAAAATGAAAATTTATAACAAGAAAAGAAAAAAAATCACAAAAACAAAAAAAAAAATATTTTTCTTTCAAAAATGCATCACAACTGGGTTAAATATTGTGAGAAAACCGATATAACAGCAAAAAAATAAAAAAACCCAATAAAAAATAGAAGAAAAAGGCAGTAGAAGCAAAAAATTGTTATGTAAAACTGAAAATGTATGTATAACACACATGCACAAATACATACAAATATACAAGCACATGTGGTTGGTGTGTAGTAGTCGCCATTTTCCATTTTCATTTTTTTTTATTTTTTGTTTTTCTTATAGTTGAAATATTTTCTATTTTATTCAAAATATGTTCAACATAACATAAGCAAATTTCTGTTATCCTTTCTGTTTTCCAAACCCAACTCTTTCTCTCTCTCTCTCTGTTAAGTGTAAATTAAGTGACATTGATTTGGGAAAAACTAAAAAGTTTACATAATATGTGTGTGTGTGTACATTTAAAGAACAAGTAAAATAAGTTTAGAAAGAAAATCCTTGCAAAAAAAAATGTTTTTTTTTTAAATAGAACGAGGTATTTAAAAATTTATTTTTTATTTTCGTTTTTGTTTTTGAAAGAAGAAATTTTTTCTTACAATTTTAATTTCCTCTTTTAAAAATTTTCATTTTTTTTTTCTTTTTGTTCTGGTTTTATTTTTTATTATTGTACCTATTAGAGCTTTTCCAAAATACATAAAAGTTTTTGCTATTTCTTTTTTTTTTTG